TCCCTTTTCACAGCGTCCCCGTCAGTCACAGGGCCAGCCTGCTCATTCACTCCTCTGTAGGCACCAGTGCCACCGCCATCGCCACCACCACCTCCACCCATTCTATTCATGTAACCAATCGGACGCCTATAGTTTACTTGTTCACTCTACTTTATCATCCAGCTACACACAAATGACAACATAACCTCGTTTAGCTGTTCAGCAAACGATTGTGCTGGTCTTCATCTTCGCTGGCACGCATGGTAACGTAGTCGGGCCAGATTCAAAGCAGTGGCCATGGCGTGGTTCAAGACCACCTGCCTGGGCTCTCAACATGTGCCTCCGGGTCACGCAAAAGCTAGGCGGGACTTGTAGTCTAACTTCGATATGTTAATTTCGCAAAGCTTTCAACAAGTATTAATAATATGGTTGCTAGGACTTGTCATCTAACTACGATATTTTACTTTAATAATACGGTGAACGCACATCAATCCCACAATTGCATTTATAATATTTAAGAATTTAGCTCGTTTACGTGGCATTTCTGATGGCACCGGATTCAGGGGTAGTCACGGACAGCTTGACCTCGACAGCAGTTTCCATTCTCGCCGGCCGATGTCCCACGAAGGTGACGCCCGTGTGCAAGGGGTTAGAAATTACTACCAGAGCGAGCCGCAATCGGTTTACGTCCTCCTGGGTAAAGTGAGTTATCAAATTACCACTTGTCATGTCGATAATCACTCGCCCTCCTGACATGCTTGAATCCAGGCTGTACAGCGCACTCCCGCTAGGCATTAGGAGATGCTTGGGGGTTAGAATAAATCCCATTTCACCGGGTCGCACCCTCGTGAGCTCCTCAGGACTTGGTGCGCGAACAAACGGACTCTTAGAGCTAACTACATGCGTGTATAGCTCATCAATCGAAAGTTGCAAGTGGATCTCATCGGAGGTAATGTGGTCAGGGCAATCGGCTCGTAGGTACTGAAGCAGTGGGCTGGATTCCGTGAGCGGGATTATTGATTCAACAAAGTGTTCAATTTGATCGGCATTGAATTCGACGTCGAGGTTATTCAGATTAACCAGATTCAATGTGATCGGACTCATGTCGTCGGTGTGATGGTAAATGATGTCCTCGTGAATGATGTTGAAAAAGGAGAAGATTGTGGCGGTGGCATTGCAGCTGTGCTTCCAATGAAAGCGTCTGCTAGGCGAGTAAAGGTACACTTTGGTGGGGTCAACACCGGTGTCGAGGAGTTGGATGTGCTTGAGAGTGAGGGGGATATCAGCGTAGGGAATAACCGATATCGCTTGGCCGATCGCAATCGTTGGCCGAGGCGTGGTGTCCGCTTCACCGACTATCTTCACCAGAATGCTAAATGAAATCGGCTTTTGAGAGGGAATCGTCAGAAGGACGCTTATGATTCCGCTTCGCGGGGACTTGCTGAAGCATGTCTCGGTCTAAAATAGTGCAGTTAGCTAATTTTATTCTAAAGTCTATCTTGTTCTTACATTCTCTAGATCTTTACAATACCATTAATGTGACATCAACTGCCAAACTGGTTTACTTGCCTTTAGTTCAATAGGAGAAGGAGAGGTGTTGTGAATTGGGCTTATTCACGCTCCCTAATCAGGTCGCTCCAACCTCCAACCCAGGGTTACCCTTTTCGCAGCATGTGGCCAGTCGTGAGGATCCTCAAATCTTTCTCACTAGTGCGATCGATTATCTTGGATTATCCTCACACCTAGGTCCTGAAGTTGGCTCATCTGTGACTCACGCATCTGAGGGAGTAAATACACACGCCCAAACGCCACTTACAACACCAACGTGGTTAAGCTGTGAGGTAAAAGGTTGTGCCCACGTTCTCCCTGATCTTTTTCCTCATCACTGGTAGCAGGGAAGCGTAACCAGGCCAGATCTGATTCAGGGGCCCCGGCGTGGTAATCGATATTATGGACCCTCCTGCTACCAAGTTGCTTCATCATGCCTTCTTCTACTTCCGAAAGGGAGACAGACATGTAAGCAGAAGTCAACCTCTAAGACTAATTTAACTCCATTTCCTATCTCATCAGTCACGTTGCTTGTGAATGAACATACGTAGACAATATAATACCCAAACTAGGTAATGATAAAGAGAAAGTTCTTTTTCTCTAACTGATTTCAAATCAGTTAAACTTATTATGAACGACACCACTCACCCCCAG